TATTTATGAGAGGCACTGTCTGCAGACGGTTTAGTAGCTCACGCACATTCCGTCAGTTTATTGGCATGCCGTATGCTGGCCCGCTCGAATGCACCGCCCCCCGTTCCCGTTATCCACCCTCTGCCCCCAAAGCTAACACACACACACATAGGAGAAACAACAAATAAACTGTGGCTACGCAAAATATTTAACACGAAAACGCAGAATACACAAAATCCAATGGTGAAGCCAAGTGGTTGCAGTTCCCAGTCGCGTGCCTCGCAGGCCACATCGTATCTGAATCCGCAGTCGAATCCGTCCGTGGCAAGTATCTTCAATCCGGGGCAGTGCGTATCTCTTTGTCACCTCTTGCAACGGTGCGTGGGTGTCGTGGCAAATATCCAGATATCTTCTCCAGAAATATAAATATATATATATGTGTCCAAAAGTGCAGATGTAGTCACCTGGCCATCATCTTTAACGCCAGATAATGCTCAAGTGGTCGAAATGAATTACCATAAAACGAATTGATTTTTTAATGCGCGGCTGGTTAATTGCGGATTGTCGGTGGTCATAATTCTCGCCTCAAAATAGCTTTTCATAAAAGTTAACACAAATATTTATGAGTTCTTATTACGATACTGAGTAAGTTTATAAATGAAATAAATTCACTCACTCTCTCTCTCTCTTTGTTTTGTATATAAATTTGCGGAATTCGCAAATTCAATCATAACTCTGCAGTTTATCTTCCTTCAATTGGCATCTTTTGAATGGAATTAAAACGTGTCTGCAATATCTTTTCGGAATCTTTAGAGAATCTGTTACCTTGTTAAATTTACGATCCCCGGCCATAAATTAGCTGAAAGGAATATATACAAATATATATATATATATTCCATTATATAGGGTCCTGTGTGCCAGTTATGTAATGGACAAAGAAAATCCTTTCAATGCTACCCGAGAGAAAAAGTCTCCAAGAGGGTGGTAAGGGTGGAATGGGTGGGCTGGATGGAATGGCTAAGGGGTAGGCTGTCAAGGAGTGAGGCTGAATTGTAACACATGTAAATATTAATGAAGGATGACAATGTGTACTTGACAACTTAATCGATAAATCAATTGCCTTGCCAGATAATGCTTCACCCCTTTTGAATAAAAAAAATGTGTGCTCCGCTACAGTTTTTTTGTCTGGCCCTTTGTGGCTGTCTCGTAAGGAGGTTGGGTCTTCGGGTGGCATTCTGTGCGTGTGTAGCATACATCCTGGCGCTGGTACATTGTGTAACCGACAACGACAGCCCACAATCCGTCCAGACAGCGTCGCCGCAAAAGACATAAAGAACGGAATGCCATTGAACATCTAGATATTAAAACGGGAATCAGTATTCTGAACGGCAACCCGCCGAGCCCAAGATTTTCAAGGTGCCACAAAACGAGTTTCCCCAAACTCAAAGGCACTTGAAAAGTTTATTTACACAATGCAAAGAGTTCAATCAGTCTTGACGACTTTAAAGTACTGAAAAGTGTTACTAAGGTTTCCAAAATAATACAATTATTCCTGTTTGTTCATCAAAGATGTTGAAAATATTTAGTTTTAAATTTTCTGAATACCCTAACAATTTTAAAAACACTCATTTTATAGTCTGAAAGAAGAAAAATTATCCAAATGTTTGACCTTTTTATTTTTTATAAAATGAAAAGATTTAAAAAACAAAACATCCAAGATTGCTTTAGTTTTAGTTTTGTTTTTTTATGGTCCAAAGAATGTTTTTTAAGTTTTCTTTAAGTATAAAAGTTTTCAGGAAGAATGTCTCTCGAATGCTCAAAGCTTATCAAATATAGGAAAATGTAGTCAGTATAAGCTGAAGGTAATATCATATAGTTAATCAATAATCACCCATTCTGAATATTTTTTTTTATTTTTTCTGAGGAAAAAAAGTTATTTAGATGGATGTTAGGGTTAAGGTTGTCTTTAATGCTGATTTAAAATGACAAATTCACGTCGGAGTGTTCTTTAAAGAATATTTTAAGTAAGAAGTTTCTGTGGCACCCTCCTTATACATATAACTATACATCAATAAATATTACTTTATACTTTTTGTAAACCTAGAAAGAAACCGTCTCTGATAAAGATAGCTAAACAGATTGGGCTAGTTACATCGAAAAAAGATGGACAAATGTAATATTTTTAGAGAGCCATGAATTATTATTCATGTTTCATGTGTAATAATTATGTTTATTACTTTATTGCCATCCTGCTGAAGTATTTTTTCCCAGACCATGTTTTTCTAATATGCAATTTTTCAATGCGCTTACATACTCTGCTCTTGTCTAAATAAACACGCTCTCAGCTATTTGTAAACAAAGCGATCGAAGCAAAAACCAAACAGAACCAAAATATAAATTCAAAACCAAAAAAAAAAAAAATATAAAAGAAAACACACACACTGGCAAACAAAAACCAAATCAAATAAGCAAGAAAATAATTTTCAATTTTCATTATTATGCTTTTGTCTTTGCCCCTGTTTTTCCTACTTTTATCCTCACCCCCTCTTGTTTTTCTGTTTTGTTTTGGTTTTGTGGATTTTTTTTGTTTTACTTTATGTGTATTTTGTTTTTTGTTTGTTGGTTTTTCTTTCACATGCGGGAAAACTAATGCACGACTATGCTCCGAGAACGAAGACGTCATGCACACTATAAGCTAAACAGCAGGTAATCCTAACTGAATAATTTCTTTTACTAGCCTTAAGCACTAGCTTTAAGCTTACGTCCCAAAAACTCAGATGATGGTGTATTCCTTATAAAAAGCGATCGGAAGTATAAGAGAAAAAGCTTTGGCAAGAAGCTTTGAAGGAGGGGAAATGTGATTTCTCTTATATTTAAGATTATGAAAAAGCTTTTATGATCCGAGAAACTTTACCAACATATGGCATTTAGTACTGTATTTTATAGTAAATTATATTAAAAATAAAAGCTGTATTGTTTGTTTATAAGTTTTTAGTTTGCAAAAATTATGAATATATAAATATGAACCCATCTATATACAAATATGATTTCCAGCTATATAAACTCATTTAAAGCATACCAATAATTAACCCATAATCTCTTTGATCTAATAAATGGCTAGCATTAATGTCCATTTGCATCTCGGCGAGCCATAAATTCCAGTCGCATTCCAAAATGCTCAGGTACTTACTTAAATTACGCAAACTATTGCTTGGGCAAACAAGTTGGTGAGTTTTAAAGACCAAGATTAAACTGTCCCCGTCAGATTTATGTCAAAATAAACAATAGATACAGCGGCGGTAAATGACAGCGGCGATTAGCTTTGAAACAAATTGGCACGAGTTGGGAAAAACTGCGGGCTTCTTAAATAATATTTATATTTATGCCTCTGCCGCGCTTAGTTAACCTTTGCTAATTTTCTAATTGGCTGATAAATAAGCGGATTCACACACACATTTCTCATATCCGAAAAAAGCACAAAATATTATTTATTGAAAGTGGGGGCCATCGTGTGAACTTTACATAATGAATAAACGCCGGAGAGCAACTAAGAGTGGGACTTATTTTTAAAAATGCTGCGCGTAGAAGATCACATATGTCCAAGATTTAATGGGATCCGCCGGGGTGATGTGTCGGTGCCAGATATAGTTTTATTTAGGCTTTCAATGTCGCGATACATATCAATAGATGAGAGAGAAGGCAGGGCCAGCCGTGCAATTTATTCCATTCGGATCTCAATAAAAGAGCTGTTAATTTAATTGAAAATGCGGTTATTGTTAATTTACTCTATCATCTGCTGCTTACCAAAGAAATAAATTAATTTCTTCTACACCAGGGTTACATCATCCACAATGCCAGTCGGCAAAACCCAAACCCAATGCAGCACGGAATGCGATTAAAGGCTTGATTAATTTCCATTTATTTCCTCTGTTATTAATACCGACCGGTCGGGTCCCCACAAAAAAACTCTCCAAACGGAAATTTCATTCAACAAATAAATTTGCGAGTAAATATAGTCAATGTGCTTGGGAACAAAAAAACTTAAAAACAATATTGGCATAATTAGATGGATAATTGATTATGCAAGCAATACGTATTATATTATTTTTTAGCCTGCCCTAAGGAGAGTGCAAAAAATCTCAAATATTTGTGTAATTGTTATGGTTTTTTTGTCAATTAATTAAAATTTTAATAATTTATCAAGGGGATTTATGGAGAAATTGAAAAACCTACCAAGGGGATTGCCCTTAATACACTTTCTATATTGATTTGTCAAAAATTATTAATGTATTTTAATGTTATCATTCCAAATAATTATAAAAATAGAATAATTCCTTATTTAATAGTTGTTTTTTTTTCTTATCACTATAAGGTTTTAACTTTATTAATCTTTTATTTCTGAAATATTATAATATAATCCCTATAAAGTACATTTCCTCGGTTACGTTCCTAAAACCAAAAAAAATATGTAAAATTTATAAAATTACATTTTGTATACAAATTTTAAATCTCCGTGCTAGAAATTTAATTAAGCAATGCAAATAAAGTGATAAATAATTAAAATTTCGAAACACATTGGCGTCTTTCTGTAAACAATCAAATCAATTAAATTGATTAATCTAATTATAGTACTCAGTTTGCCATTGTTTCCCAAGATTTAGGCTGAGAAGAGCATCTAGAGTTCGTTGTCCTTTAAATTTGTAGCAGACCCCTCAGCTTTCTGCGCTCTTTAGTCATATGGTTTACTGGGGCTTTTGTTAATCTTATAAACGAATTCTCGACACAGCATGCGTACATTTCATTGAGAACGATGATTTGTTGTTCCTTCGATTTACTCGCCCGAATTTGCTTTATGAAACTTTTTTGCTGCGCCCGCTTTTCATTTTCATTTTCGTTTTCGTTTTTAATTTTCCTTTTAATTTGTATAAAAATTGATGCAGACAAAGCTTGTTGCTCTTGGCGGCAGCGTTCAATGCCAGTCGTTGGCGTTTGTTGTTCTAGTCGCTTTGTTTTTTGGCCAAAACTGATCTCGCCTAACTGTCAGTTTTCGGTTTATAGTCGACTCGTGCGGTTTTGCTGCGGTGAAATTGTCTTCTGTCCGCCCATTTCTCACATTGTCACGCGGCTGGTTGTTAACGAAAACTATAATTAATTATTTCAAATTAATGTGAAGTCGCTGAGCAAAGTTCGGTAGTGAAATTGTCGTCGATGATTGCATAAATCAAAGAAAACCCAGTGCAAAGTGTGATCGGAAAGTTACGAGCTTTTTCAATAAATGAAAGGCGCCAAGGCAACTCGAACTCAATATGAAAGGAGCAAGAGTAAGAGCAACAAACGCTCGGAAAAGTCGGCCAAGTAAGCGAAAAGGGCAACAGTCATTCTTTCTCTTTTTCATTCCATTTTCCTCGCAAATGCACTTTAATTCCGAGCACGGACATCTGGCCCTCGAATATTATTTAAAGTCATTAACATTTCTTCTAATATCCGTACTCTTTAGTGGTCGTAAAATAAACAATATTCGCTTATGGCCAGACAAGAACTAAAAATAATTCCAGTTTGTTTATCATCGATTCGTGTACATTGTCCAACTTGATTTTACACTACAAAGTTGTATACAGAGCGCGCTAAAAATGTTTACTTATGCAGATCTATCTAAAGTCTGTATTTTCCTTAGTGCCTCTGTATGTGGACTTCAATAAAACTGCCATAGTTAGCTTTCCTATCGATCATCAGTTTATCGATTTTATGGTTTAGTATATTCAGAGCCAAACGTGATGCTACAGAGCGTTTTTTTGTGTACAATGAAAGTTCAAGAGATATATTATATTTTAGAAACTAGGGCTGGGCTGCTTAGCGGAACCAGCAGAACCAGCAGAACCAGAAGATTTGAACCAGATTGTTTGATTTTTCATTAAAAATAAATGTTTTCGGTAATTGTTAGATGGTTAATTTCTCATTTTATAATGCTAAAAGGTCTTTTGTAGTTGATTATAAACATTTATCTTTTGGTCAACGTATTTAAACAGGCAAAATAAACTTTATTTTTATTAGAATCAGATTATGGTTTAATAACGTTAATAATAATAATTATTATTACTGTTATTATTATAAAGAAATTACTTATAGCAATTATAAAAATCGGCTAATTTTTACTTTGTATTAAGCAATAGATTAACGATAATATAAATATAATATTTAATTATAAAATAATATTTAAAGAAATCAATTGTAAGACGTAATTTTTTAGCAATCAAGACAATTAATTTAAAATTTTCAAAACAAATTAAAATTTTTAAATTAATAAAATTTTGTTTGTAAATTATAGAAAATTCAGAGTGTCACATACACCTTTGAGGTGTGAAATCAGAAGATGCATTTAGCAAAAGTTTAATAGCACTTTTCTTTTCTTTATTATTTTATTTATTTATTTTATTTATTTTTTTTTAAATCTAAATCATTAAGGACTGCGTCCATTTTGTGTAAACAATTTGACTGTCCTCTTAACAAAGCAGTGCTTCTTTTGCTAAATATTATAAATAGAAAACTTTTTATATACATTTTAAAATTTGAGCACTTTCTATGCTGGACTAAACACAGGCAAAGATAAAAAGTATTGCCTGTGAAATGAAATCTTTATTTCAATGTAATATACGTTTATCTTAAGTTTGTTTGGTTAAGTCCTTTTGTTTTGAATTAGGTCGAGATCAGTTTTAATACTATTGATTTGAAATATTTCCAATTATAAAACCTGGGTGATCGTATGTGTAAATTTTAAAACATAAGAAATAACTTATTGTTTAATTATACGTATATTTGGGATAGGAAATAGTTTCCAATGTTTGCCTCTTAAAAATACATATACCACACCATACGTAAATCGCCTCGTAATTTCATTATAACATCGCTTTTTGTAAACATCTGATCAAATAATTTTAAAAAGTCCGTTAAAAATGTTCTTTTTAAATCGTTATTTTTTTATTTATCTAAGGCCAAAAATTTACAAAGGGCTAGGAGCAAGAACAGCTAAGGCCTTCTGATCGCTGCAGTGTTAGAATATAAACTTATGTTTATTTGTATTATTTACATGTCTTTTAAAGAAATATTTATTTCAAATATCATCGTGCATATTTTCTTCAAAAATGTTTGGTTAAGGGCTGATTATTATTATTAACGCCTAAAAGACTGCCACACTTTTGTTGATTGTTCCATATGATTTTCGAGAGAGCATTAAAACCTGTTCAGTGTTCGAAAAAGTATTTAAAAAGAAAACTTTGTTTCAATCAGACAAAATAAATGACACTTGTCCGAGGCGAGTGTGTCGGCCAAATATGTGAAGACCAAAGACTCTTGACGCTTTATAAATACGGGGCGATGTTTTCAGATCTACGCATTCCACAATTCAGTTGGGAGACAGCCTCCCAGACGAGATACGTATGTGCGTTAAGATATATGTATAGAATTCATAAATATTTGTTTATGTGAGCATATGCGATGGCTCTAAGACTTGGGGTCTCTCAAGCGATCGGCAGTTTGTCAAAAATTCTCAACGCAGACAGGAGTGTCAAATCGCTTAGTATAAAAAACGTAAGTTATGGAAAATCTGCAAAGCATCCCATTTTTATGGATCATTTGGGATTTGAATAGATCTTTTAAAATACTTAATTTGATTTGCGGAGAAGAGGAAGTGCGATGAAAAGTCGATGGGAAACTTAGGAATACTCTTTTTTGTAGACCCCCCATTCATGTTTATTTTCCTATTCCCCATTCTGATAAAATTTTTCCTTACGTTTTTTTTACGTATGCCAACAGCCGTTGATTGGATATAATAATTTATTTATGTTTCGTAGTTGTAATTTATAGCTTTTCCGAACTTATATTCCTCTTCCTTGGTGTTTTTTCTTCAGCACCACCTCCAAGCGCACCAAATCGGTGATATATTTATATTTATTTTTTCTACAACGCTGCTTTTTATTATTATTTATTTATACGTGGCGAGTGTTGAAAGGCCCCAGCCATATAGTCGAGGAGAACGTCTAACAATTGGTACCAATGCTGGACCTATCCGGTTCAGTTGACTTACAGCATTCGTTGAAGAACGACCCGCATTTTTTGGGGATTTAGATATATATTTTCCACAAGACAAAGTTGGGAAAGAGTTTGGAATGTTGATTGGCTGCCGTTCGCCATGGCAACCGCTTACCAATCGAAGGCAAATCACTAGTTTTAGTTCCCTTATACTAACTCTTCCTAAACATAACAACTAAATTGATTTGGACAATTTCAGATTGGACAGAAAGTCATCGCGGGGCATGATATACGAAAATGAGGAGCTCAGGCTGCGCACCATTAACATTAATGCAGAAGTGGAACGAGGTATGGCCAAATATGATAAGAGCTGATCAAAAGCTGGCCAGTATTGCGCCATTAATTTAGATATACCACAGCAAACAGGAAATCAAATAATCGTTAAATAAATGGCCCAGAAAACAAACTGAAAACAGCCAATTAAAAAGACATTAGACGGTGGTGGCCAAGGAAACCAAAATAATCCTACAGAATATAGCTAAAGAAATATCTCTACACGCACCTACTCGTACATAAATATCTGCCCACCTCTTCAGATATATCTGTCGGAATATTCATTAAAAATGTTTTCATTGCCAAAACACAAGATAAGCGAATGTAAACAATGCGATTTGAGGTGTCTAAAGGTCTGACAGCTCTGCGTGATGTCCACGTGCTGTTCTTTAGACTCATCCAAATACTCTTTAAAGTTTTCCATTCTTGGACTTGTCCTAGGCTCCTTGGCGAGTAAGGCCAATAATATGCTTTCTCATTTCCAGGGCAATCGGACATTAAGCGCCTGCGGCGAGAGAATGAGCAACTGCGTCGGGAAATCTGGACTTTGCGGGACGAGTGCGATAGGCTCAACAAACGCTTCAAGGCGAAGCTCAGCGAACACGAGTTTGGGGGATGCAGGGGCAGCGGAGGCAGTGGTGGTACCTGTCACGCTTATCGATGCAGTGGCGGAGGGCGTGGCAGCGGAGGTTGTGATGCAAACAGTGATGAGTAACCTAATGGCGAAACCTAAAAGGTTATCAAATAATAAAAATAAGAATTATTTAAAATGTTCTCCTATTCACAGGACTCTGACTCATGTGATACGTGTCGCGGGGCAGACGATGGCCAATGCAGCGACGAGTGTTGCCAGGAGGGTGGATCCTGTGCGCCGCTGAAGCCTCCGCTGCCACCGGAGGTGCCCAGCCATCCGTCTCCATCTAACAACGAAGAGAACGGCTCTGGCACCCAGAACAAGGAGCCGCAGCCCATGCACTTCGATCATCTGTCGGTGGTCTCCGAGGAGACTCTCAGTAATCCAGAGCTTATGCTCGCCCAGCAGCAGGAGCACCTAACCATCTGCCCGCCAGATTCCCATGGATCACAAAGCACGCTGCCGAGCTTGATGGGACCACTTACCCCGCTGACGCCCATTGAACTGGTGGCTAACCAGCTGAATGATCTCCAGGCGATGGTGCCACCGCTGTCTTATTTTGAGAACATCCTGGCTCAACATATGGGGGCCTCGTAATGCAGGTTAGTTGTCCTTGATCTATAATAACCTTAAAAGTAAGAATGAATATTTACTAAAGTACATTTTTATAGCCCAAACGCCTTCCCCGGAGTTGGGAACCAGTTCTAGCACCACCACCGGCAAGACTATGCGGCACACGAATGGATGGGACTACAACCTACAGTCGCCCTTCACGCAGCGCAAGTACTCCGAGGTGACATCACCGCCCCGCTCTCCACCGCCGCCTGTGAGTACGATGACCACGTTTGTGCCCACGTCCACGCTGCAGACGATGCCCAAGATCGCACTGAATGCGCCACCGCATCTGCCAGAGGGTGGCGACATCGAAACGGTGGCCATTACCACGAATGCCACGCAACATGCGCTCAACAGTCCGAAGCACTTCTTTGCGCCGATCAAGCCGCGTTTGAAGCTCAACACCAAGTTGGCCAATCAGGGACAGGACCTGGAACAGGATGACCTGCCGCCAGGATCTCCGCCGCCTCCCATACGAGATCCACCAGACATTTTCGTCAATAACGCCCTGGCCTCGCCCTATCAGCGGCGAGTCTCCCCACAAGTAAGTCCACGACACCGACGGTCCACTCACTCGCATTGCCACGCCCACAGCCACCAGCGTAGCCGGCAACGCTTACAGCCCACGCACTGCTCCCTACATCGGGCGGTAGTGGATGTGGCAGCTGCTGTTGGCTTGGGGGAAGTGGGTCCGCATCCGGGCTCCAGCGTCCTCGATATATACACCGCTGCATTGGCAGCAGCCGCTGCTGCCAGGTGTTCTCCGCTTCCGACGGCCAGATCGGTAGATCCCATCTACGCCACAGCACAAAAGCCTGGCCAGAATACATGCATCTCGGCCACGGCTTTCACTCAGCCGGTGATGACCATCACCACACAGTCCACCAAAACCACCTCTTCGTCACTGAAATTGGCCAGCAAAAAGAAGGCCGTCGGCGAAGCGAAAAGGGTGGTCAAGTCCGCGGAGAACGTCAGTCAGGTGAGGGATCCTCTGGCCAGCAGACGATCATCCTCGTGTCATAGTCACATAGATCTTCAGACTAGCTCATCTCAAATTGGCTTAGATTCAGTGTTCAATGTTTAGTTTCCATTTGGCTTGTATTAATGTTGTTGTTCTTGTTAAAATCATTTATATTTCTGTAGAATATTCAGAGATACTCCAATCATTAATTTTATTTGTCATTATGAAGTTTCTTAAAAGGATATAGATAAAGAAATATAATTCATTTTGATTGTTTAATATTCTATTTAGTGTTTAGTACTTTCCCAAGTTCCTAATTTGGATGGTGTTACTTTTACAAATTGTAAAAGCAATAACTTTCCCCGTTTGTTTATATCATTGTAAAATCAACGATGATGTCAATAAGAGTAGATTAGAAGAAATTACTTTCTCTTTGAGAGTAATATAATTCCCTTTTTATATGAGAACAAATATGTTAGATAGCTTTGAAAATTGTCAATTATCATTAATCTCATTTCGCAACACTCTCCCTTTAATCCATTACTAAAATTGAAGGAAAATGTTTAACTCGAAATAACTGATATATTGTATTTTCTCAAAAACTCATGTTTAAAAAATGTATTTCTATGTTTTATTCGTTTTAGTTTATGGATAATATATTTAAAACATTCTTTTAGCTAGACTTCCCCTGATGGACTTGTTTTTATATTTATAGGATAGTCTTTAACCCACCTAATCGATTATCTTTTCGAAGTTCAATAACTACTATTGTCCCAATAAAGGTGACAACCGATTAGTAAAGTTTCCCTTTTCATATGTCTTAGACAGTCATTTTAATGTTTTGACAATAAAATGAAAATGTTAAATTCGATTTTTCAAATCATATTCCCTTTTCCGCTTATGAACTTAAACTCTTTTGTTCCCATTGCTTGCTCTTAATTAATATTTGAATATCAACAATAATTTAGTACTTGGAAATAATTGTCTTACCTCATCAGCAGCAGACGGATTCAGTTAACTTGGAGTCGATATTGAACGACATCGAGACCATTTCGGAGGACATACTGGCCATTCAGCTGGAGAAAAGCAAGTCGCGCGACAACCTTAACCACAATAACAATAAGGACGACGATCGGGTGAAGAAACCCTATCGCTCCGAGATGAATCTGTATTTGCAGTATGACGGCACAAATCCGACCATTTCACCAGCCACAACGGAAGGGGCTACACCGGCGGTGACCACGTCCAGTGAGTCGGGAAACAGTGGGAGCGGTAAATTAGTGCGTCGCACCCGATCCCTAGAGAGGGAGCATACAGACAGTCCTGCACCGCACATTCCGGATCCCATGGCACCGTTTCCCGACAAGTGCACCTATCTGGGATTCGAACAGGTGAATCAGGCAGCCGGTGTAGCGGGATTGCCTCCTCAGTCACCGAATGGCCAGAGGCCCCCCATTGCGGCCAAGCCGAATGTTCCACTTAAGCCACCGCCACCGCTGCCACCTGCCCGCAGGCCCACCATGCCCGACAGAGCCACCGCCCCCGCCACCCACCACTTCCACTTCCGGAGTCATTGGCCTGCCGCCCAATAAGAGCCACCTGTACAAGTCACTCGCCTCGGCGGCGGCCAAGAGAGCCATCTTCCGCTCATCGCCATCGCAGTTAACCAGATCCCTGGATGTGGATCTCACGGGGACGGAGGGGGAAGCGGGCACGGAACAGGGAGCTGCTGGAAATGTGAGTTTATAAAACAATAAGTCGATAATTTTGGAAAAAAAATAACACAGTATTAACTAGGCTTGATTAAGCAATAAAAAGATTTTAAAGGTTGATAATCCTATAAACTAATCTCTAAATACACTTTCAGTTGGATGAATTGACGAGACGAAAGGCGCGACGCGTGTCCATCGTCTGCGCATCTGGTCAGGTGACACAGCAAGATGACGTGGCCACGCCTGTGACCACAGTGCCCATGGCTACCGCCAGTTGCGTAGATCTGAGCACCGTGCTCACCCATCCGACCATCAAGGCTTTCAAGATGAGTCACAGCACTCCCAATTCGCCGCATTCCTCGCGTCGTCGCACCAACAGCAACTCGATGGGACCTCCACCGGGACTGCCGGTAAATGGTGGACACCCCGAGCTCGGGGCCACTGCGTCGGCACCGCCCAGCACCACCCACCATCACCACCATCGCAAGGAGGGCAGTGATCCAGTTCCCATGACAGCCACTGTCAGTCGGACCAAGTGTTCCAGGCGGCATTCTGAGGGCACAGTTCACACCGTCCATCGAAATAGCTCCGCCAGCGGAGGAGGAGGTCACCACCATCACAGCCATAGCCATCATCATCCGCATAGCGGAATGGTGATCAGTAGCAACCCGCACCACAGCCACCATTCCCATCAGGACAGCAACCACGAAACGGTCACCTCGCTGTCCGATCGTAACTCCAACAGCTTCGCCTCCTCCCGCGAGTCCTCCACGAGCTTCAGCATGCGCTCCAATCGCCGAAAGATTTCGGTTAGTTCGCACACGGGTGGAAAGATTCCGTGGTGCGGCTGCTGGGGCAATGGCTGCCTCTAGATTGAGGGTTCTTCATTTACCGTCCAGGAACAAAACTCAGTGAATTCACTTGGCTGGCAGTTCTTAATTCTTAAGAGATTCAAAACCCCTTCTTAATTAATTAAAAATAAATATGCATTTAGTTTCATTGATTTAATTTTAAACATTTAGTTTTTCCAAGATTGTTGAATTACAAATTATATTTAAATGGATATTTAAAAGAATGTTAATGATTAGTACACAAAAGAAGCCAAAGGTATTAAGTTTTGAATTTTATAATTATTCTGCACATTAACAGGTTAATTTCATAAGAAATCCATAGTTCGAAGACCAAGAATTCGACTGCAGCTAAGTGAATTACCCTGTATTCCATTATTGAGTGTACATTTCTAGATCTTCGCATAACCAATTTACGTGTTTGTATATGACTTAGTGTAGATTGTTTAAGGAAAGCGACCCAGCATTTTGTTTCTAGAAACAAAGTACAAAAATACCTTTGAAATTTAACCAACTTGAATCGAAATTAACCCCGAACTTTGTTGTAAATATTTTGATAGACGCGATTAAGTTGTAGCATTTAAATGTTGGTCTCGAAAAGGAAGTCATGTGAATTCTACAAAAACAAACCTATGTTATAATTGTTGCTGAATTCGGAGAGAATACAAATCAGAAATATAAAATAGAAAGTGGTTTTTATTTCATTGCATTTAGGGAGAATTTATGGCTGTATTAATGCGGTTTTTTAAACTAAGGCTTTAAAAGTAATCACAAGCATTTATACTAAAATTGCTTCTAGCATGTATTGATTAATTGTGCATAGTGGCCCGTTATTATAATATTGAGATTACAATATGGCAGCATAAGTTGGCTTAAGTCGTCTCTTGTTCTCCATTTTCATTCCGCCATCAGAACTTTTTCAGCAAAATTTCATTTCACGCTTGTTAGCCGCTCTAAAGTTGCACTTGGCCGCACGGATCCCGCTGACTTTAACGCCGACGCGAGGGAGGATAAGGATGAAGTGCCGCGACGGGTGGCGGGCAGGAAACGCCGGTTGCAACTGCAACTGAAATTGCGCAACAAGCGAAAATATACAATATGCAAATTAGCCGCAAATTAAGGTGTAAAAATGCATGACACACAAAACGCCTCTAGGATATATGCAGGAAACAAATTAAATTTTCTCCATGTACCAGTGCAAATTGCGGTTGCAGTGCAAGGCGTGAAGGTGATGGGATCGTGGTAAAAAAAATACAAAATGAAAAAAGACTCAGGTCAGAGTGCTCCACCGCAGTGCGCCAGAAAATGTAACCCAGCCAAGGGCCAGAGCACAGTTTATTGTAGTATTCCCCTTGTTTATCCCACATTTGAAGGACACTGGACTCCACCACTGGCCAGCTGCCAATCAATTGTGCGCCACTTGAATTCATTTTAGAAATAACAGAGCTTATGGCATCTTAGTTTAATTGATTGGTTGCCAACTTTTGCCAGATTGCCGCGAGTTTTATTTTATGGCAATGTGTTTGTTTTGGCCATTTACTGCTGCCAGATGCATCCCAATCTTGTTTTTGATCTCAGAGGGACATGACAAATCAATTTGTAATCATTACGACTTGGTTTATTTGCCAATGGAAAATCATATAGGAGTCAGCTTTTAACTATCTCAGCAAAATTATTAATTTAAATGTAATCATAAAAAAAAAAAAGTTACATGCCCCGGGTGAGGCTCGAACTCACGACCTTAAGATTATGAGACTTACGCGCTGCCAACTGCGCCACCGAGGCTTCGAGTGCACTCGTGGCAATGGAGATAAAATGAAAGAAAGCGGATAAGCTGATCTACATTTGGGAATCTTAATTTGGACAGTGCTAATCATATGCACTTGAACTTTGCTGTTATCATTAAATATATACGTTGTTTATTTTGTTAATGGGCTTAACATCATTAACATCGCAAACGTTTTTGCGACGTTTTCTTAATTTGAAAATTTCTTTAAAATGATTGTTGGAAATATACTCGTATATTATGTTCTTAAGACATTAACTTCATATATTTTGTAATAAGGAAGAAAAACATTGTTTTTTTTAATATCAGGATATGATAATTTCGGTTCATCCAATTAATTTTTTATAGTTTCATAGAAACAAGTATAATTTTAGTCAGAAAAATATATTTGTTATACCTCAAAAATACAGAAATATTTCAAATATTAGGTCAACAGAAAGATAGTGTCCTTTAAATATTTTCCTTACAAAATCGTAGTTTACAATTTCAATCAAATTTTTGACGTCTACTTAAAGAAAAACACAAACAATATTAAATAATTTAAAGGCTGATTTCAACATTTTTGTCATTAACTTAAAAAAAGTGAAAAGGTAACTTATTGAAAATAAGAAAAAAAAGTTATTTAAGCATAAGCTTCTTATGAATGCACTATCAGAACTTAATCGCATGCACACAATATGGTTTATTAGCCTTCTATTATAGACATAATACCTCAATGAAAACGATGAGCTCAAAACAGCAATAAGTAATTATGATCCAATATATCCTGCGGCGTGATTCCCTTATAAAATTTGTAATTGCTTTGACGTTAATGAGGAAACTTTTGTTTCTGCGTATCGTAAAAAAAGGTTTATTCCTGGGACCGAGACCGACTCAGACTGACAGGTATCCCAGCATTGCTCTTTTGATTTATGCGCTCAACATAGCGTATACTTATTTTATGGTTCTTGTTTAGTTTTCGTTTTTTGATGTGCCCTGGCTTGGCGCCTTCAATGAGCTGTGTCTGCACATATTTCTCAATCATTCCGAGTTTTCAGACAATACCACGCTCTTTCATATGTATATATATGAGTTTTTATGACGCTTGTTTGTTGCTTTTGTTGCGGAGGGAATGTCTACTGCTTTTATTACCATAAATTCTGTCGCCTTTTTGCCCAACCCACTCACTCTTGTTTTACGATGGTTTTTCATTGTTTTAGCCGCCGAGCTTTGACGTATTAACAATTTGTCAAGCGAAATTTACCAGCAGCAGGATAAAAATCAATGCATGCTAACTAATTACTTGCTGGCTAAGAATGTTTTTCTGTCTGAGTTGCATTTACTGAACACTGAAAGAAAATAGGCTAAAAAGATTGATTTAAATTTTATGGAGTACCATTTTTCTTGATTAATGTATTAAAGAATTTATTACAGCCTTTTATACCCAAAATAAATATTTCATTTACATTTTTTACTAACTAAGGTTAAGTTAATGAATACGCTTACAAAATGCAATACAATAATTTTAAAACATTTAACACATTTTTGTTTTATTGCAATAAAATCTTGAGTAATTATCTACAAAAATCTCCTATAATAGAGAATTTTTTGAAAGTGCATCTGCTGATTACTCAGCCAGAGCAGATGTGACACGCCCCAACTGATGTCGCCCAAACCAGCTGGCGCTGCTTTGTTTGCCCGCATTAACTGAGTGGACAACCCATCCAGTGGGCATCCACAGATGTCCTGGGCTAGGGAGCTCTATGGGGAGCTGCTAAAAATTGCAACTAGCAACTGATGACGTCCCAGGCGATGCGCCTCCCTTGCCCACATGAGCGGCAGATGGGCAGCACCATCTGCTGGTGCAGCACTTTTTCCGCTTTGAGCCAAACACTCACTTTGATCATTTTTCATTTTCCAAAGCGACACATGAGCTCTCCCAACCCATCTAGCAGGATGATGTCTGCAGCTGGATTCCAGGATTCCTGGACGTGTGTGTGGGAGAGGGGGGCTGACAGCGTCGGACTTGCGTGATATTTTTATTAAGAAATATATCAAATGCACATAATGCACACATTCCCAGCTGCCATATATAACCCGCTAGGGACTTGGGAGCTAGCCAAATGACACTTTATTATTATTTTCATTGTTATGCGGGATTCTATTAAATTAAGCCCTAAATGCCATGATTGAGCTGGCGCTCAGTCACCTCTTCTTTGCCAGTTGAAATTCCAAATATTGGATCTCAAATTGCAAATTTATTCATACGAGTCGCGCGGTTCACGTCAAGCGTTAAGTTAAGTTAAGTGACCTTTCGAATGCCTAACAAGCCAGGTTCCTTCTTGTCCCGCCTGAGCCTTTGTTGTTCACTGAATTTGCATAATCGCGTGAAGCGTATTTGTAAAATAAAAGCCAAGCAAGGTACATCAGAAAATGTCAGGAATTACATACAACGTGGGGACTTCGTGGAAATCCTCGGTCAATGCGCAGAATTCGTGTACTAAGCCATGGACAGGCACTTGGAGAAAACGGGGGGTCTTCTATAAAGCACAAATTATTTAAGTATTAAAAATATTACTTACATCACTTAACTTTAAGAGTATACCCCTTAGTTCGACTTAATGAAAAAATTGTCCACAGTCTGAGTTAAAAGTAAGGTTGCGGTACCTTTAATCTTCCTGATTTTATCAGTAAAAAGTTCATGATTAAAGATAACAATTATTTCAAGTGCATATATACGGCTTTGTGGGCGGTGGAGCAGAAGCAGGAGCAGGTTAAGAGTGCCTCTGAATAATTTGCATTTAACATGCGCGACATGAAAACCAAATAAACAATGCTTTCGCCTCGAACCCTCTAAGCCGAGGGGCAATTTGTCAGCTGCTAACTGGTCGCCAGAAAGTGCGCTGTTTCCTACTGGTGATTTGTTGCACCCGTTTTTCATTTGACTAAATGCTGCAAATGATGCGATTCGGTATGTGGAATGCGCACGTTTCCTGTTCAGTGTCCAGTGTCTAGTCTACACGCTGCGTATGCTTAATCTGGCTGAGCTATAATAACTTTCGCTTGGCTGTTAGTTATGACTTATGACCCGCCCTTTCAGGCAGGCAGGCGACGTATATAAAAACAAAATTAACATAATTTAGTCGCTAGCAGGACAGGCTGTCCGTTCATCCCGAAGCAAATAAATTGTAAAACTTTTGCGGAGAAGAAAATGTATTGATAAGGCCACAGCTGAAAGTCAATAAGGCGAGCGGAAAAACTTTTCCCATCCAACCGATGATCATCACTTCTTGTATATACACTCCTCTTTAATACACACATGTGATTGGACGACGGGGATAGAGAATGAATTTGATTAATATTAATGCTAGTGCTGCAGAAATACATTTAAGGTCAAAAGGAAATGTTAAATAAGAATGTCTAAAAAATATATAATATATGTTAGCGAAGAAAGTTTTTAGGCAAACAAACGTGAAATTCCATTCCTTATTTTTCATTTAACTAAATTTTTGTTATTCATATTCTATTTTCCTTACCCCCGCTGTATAATCATAATACAAGAGCAAGGACATGCAATATCAATAAACCCAATGGCAGACTCCTTTTTATGATTTATTGTGTTTGGCCAGTGGACGTGGTCCGAGCAATTTCACCTTGGCTGCCATCATTCTCGTGCTCCATTAAATCTTTGGCGACACATTCAATGAGCCCCATAACGTGTTCCCTAATACCTTGTCTCTGGCCACCGCCTCCTTCTCCTCCTCCTCCTCGTGCCACCACCCACCCTAATATCCATTGTTTATAAATGTTCTAATGGAGGGCAAATTATTATTTTTCCTTTTTGGTGTTTGTGCATGTCGAAGCTGCTTCCTTGACGCTGCTCGAGTGATAAATTGATTGGACTACACACACACACAG